TAGTGTCTGTGAAGCATTCGGATGGCGGGACACATGTCCCTCCTCTTGATTCATGGGCGCCCATCCCTCCTTATGGTCCCCGGGGCAAGGGGGTGCCACTAATGGAACTGCCACTTTATGCCTGGCACTGAATGGAGGCAGAGATTTTAAAACACACAACAAACTTGTCCAATACAAAGTATATTATCTGCCCCGTTAGGTATTAGTTGGGGCACTAGTTGTCGCATCTTGTTGGGACGAGAAGACAAAAAAATAGGAGGGAGCAAAGAGCAGAGCACACCAGTTTGAAGTCTTCCTTTCGGCCCCATATATGAAACGTCTTGCCGGCCAGCTGGGCGAGGACAGAGGGTTGCCATTTGGCAGCGTGGACCGTTGCGGCTGTGAATCTCCAGGCATCCTGAAGCGCTCTCTACGAAAACAGGGTGTGCTTTGAGGCAGGACAGTGGGGTCTGGTGTGGATGGTGGCTGGGCTGGGACACAGCATCCTGAGCCTCACTCTGGTCAGCACGTTCGTGTATCAGGCATTCTCATCTCATGCTTCATGCCTCATGCTTCTCTCGTTAGCAACTGGCCGGTCCCCTCTGCACCATCTGGAGGGAGCCGGTTTGATGGGCTTAGCTAACTCCCCTGGTCCCTTCTGGCCAGGTCACCGTGTGAGTCACCAGCAAACCCACTGATGGGCCTCCTTTTTGTCAGATATCCACCCCCAGTCCAGTCAGGTGATGCTTTTCTGCAAAGGACACACAGAGCAGATGCTTTGGGCTACGCAGTTTCAGGCAGAAAAGGACACTGGGCGTGATGGCCACCATGGTCAACATGCCAGAGGTGCCGCTCGCGTGCTTTCCTCACTTGGTGGGCAGGGGCCCATCTTCCTGGCTGTCTCCTCTGGGGGCTCCAAGGTCCCTAGGAACCTCTCCTGGAGCTGTGTGGGGGCGGTTTGCTTGTTTCATTACCCCCGAGTCATCCCCGCGCCAGGGAAAGGAACCAGGCCCTCTCGTAGGGACACGGAGGTGGCACTCACTGCCCAGGGTGTTGCTTCTGGGCTTAGTGGAATCCTGAACGCTCAAGGGGAGCAAGGGTTCCCTGAAAATAGGGTATGGTGGGCTTGCCCCACATGTGCCCACTGCTCACTTCCAGATGCCTCATAACCCCAGAAGAGGTGTGGGCTGTGCTAGGGCATGACAGAAAAGCCTCCACAGCCTGGAAGAGCTGGGCCACTACTGGTCAGGTGAGGCGTACCCTGGGTAGGTTTTAAAGAGACCAGTGTGTAGTTCTGGCCCAGCCATAAGATGACTAAGTTGCATGACAAAGTTGCTTGGCCTCTCTGTGTCTCCCAGTGATAAACTCCACTCCCACCTGCTTCGAAGGGCTGGCGTAAGAACCGAGGGCCCTGGATTCCCTAACCAGGGAGTGTACAGTCATTATAAGTATGATCATGAGCCTTGGGTGTGGTTCTGCCTAGCGATTGGCTAGGCAGTGGTTCTCAAACTTTCTGTGCCTGAGATTTAGTAGAGCTGGGTGGGCCCAGAGAATCTGCATTCCTAACAAGTCCTGGCTGATGCTGAAGCTGCAGGTATGTCCTGGGACCACACCCTGAGAACCAATGTCCTAGCTGCTGTCAGAAGTGTGACTCATGGACCAGTAGCATCAGCCTCACCTGGATGGAGGCTTAATGCAGCATCTCAGGCCTCATCTACCACCTACTGGATCAGAATCTGCATCTTAACCCAGTCCCCATGGGATCCACATGCACCTTAAACTTTGAGCAGTGCTGCCTTAGAGGAGCCAGGATGAGAACACGCTGGAGGTAGCGGTGGATGAAGAATCACTTTCTGTGGATTCTGAAGATGCAACAGAAAAGGCTGAAACTGTTAGGATGTGCACCCAGAGGGGGCTGATGAGGACAGCTGAGGGGGAGACTTGGGAAGAAGAGAGTACTCTTCTGTCCCCAGGGAAGATGGAGAACACAAGAAAATTCTGAGGAAACAAGGTGGGCCTCAAAGACTTCATCAGGCAGCCTTCATTTGGCCCATCAGACAGGGGGCATGGGATTCTCTTGAATGCCCCCAGCTGTGGGGGGGGGGCACACTGGGGCTGAAGCCTTCAGCGGGGAGGACAATAGCTGTGAGGAATGCCAGGGGTGGACACACATCAAATAAAGCGTTTGCTGAGCAGATGCAAGGGCCCAGCTGAGGTGACAAAGCATGAGTCTGCAGGCGACTAAACAATGCCAGCATTGTGACTTTGTCCTGCAGTGCTCAGCAGTGGAAAAAACCAGTCGCTATGCAGGGACACAGAAGGGGCCATGGGTGGGCACAGGTCACAGTGGGCTGGGGCTTGGCTTGCATGGTGGACCCAGCAGAAGGGTCAAAGCGTGCGAGAGTAGAGTAGAAGGAATGGATTCTACTAGAAGATACTTGGGCTGTTAATCTTGAAATTTAAAAAAAGGACGGGGAGTGGGTGGGAGAGAAAAATGCCTCAGAAGGCATAGACTTCCTCTGTCTCTTCCTTAGTGCATATGAAGAGACAAAATTGAAACATCTGATCTCTCAGGGATGTTAAAACAAATTTTATTGGGTGGTCAGGAGGGCCCACGTTACAAGATGGTGGGGGTGCTATGCATTCTTCAGCCTCGATCCCTGGCCACACAGCTAAGAAGTGAAAGAGGAAGGGAGAAGGAATCCAAGCCCCGCTCACACTCCCAGAGCTGTTGAGTTTCTCTCTCCTGCCCTGTCTCTTCTAACAGCCGGTGACCATTCTCCATGAGGTTCCCCTAGTGTTGGGATGTCCTCTCCCAGCTCAGCCCTTCTCAAGGACCTGCAGGGAAACAGGAAACCAAGCACAGTTAAGGCCTCTGTGCCTGGTTAACATACAGCTCTCCAACATTCCCTCAAAAACCTGTGCAAGGGGCAGCTTGGGCCGGAGACTCAGAAAGGCTTGTGCTGGGGCTGTTGCTGGCCTTGGGCTGGTGATCTCACTCCCTGGGCCTTTGTTCCCTTCACACTGAGCTCTGTAAGGGCAGGGACCACATGTCATTTTGCTACTCTGCAGCTAGCACTGTGCAGGGCTCAAAGTGAGTTCCCACAGAAGTTGGTGAAATAAAGGAAGTAGAACCTTCGATCTCCACCGCTAGCCCTCTTGTGACCACTTTGCACAAACAAGGCACCGTCCTTGACCAGGCTTGCTGAGCTAGTGTGAGGATGAGCTAGGTTTATTCTCAAATGAACCAAATTGCTGGTTCTCCTGGGAAGAAGGCACTGTTCCATGAAAAAACAAAAAACAAAAAAGCAAGAATTTCTTGATTCCCTTCCATGCCAGGTTTGGGAGGGACAAATTCTTGACAACTGTTTGTCTAGGGAGGGCGAGAGCATGCTCCGGCCCCCACCAAGGCCAGGTGCCTCCTCCTCGCTTCACCCTCCTCTCTTCACCTCCCAGCGCACTTGGGAGAATGACTGCCGGGCATTGTCCGTTTGGAAAAGTACAGCACCATAGATATGAATCAGCGTGGGCAGCAAAAATGATTCACGTCTGACCAATTCGGTTTAGTTCAGGTTATCCGTTCTGAACCTTTTTCTCCCTTTAATTAAATGGTGATTGGTCTCAACGGTGGGAGGAAGAGCCTAAACTCTGAATCTGTGGACAGCTGGGAGTAGGGTTGATAAGGGGAGGGGTATTGTCGTTATCAGAGAACTAATGCGCAGGTGGAATGGCACCTGTAGGGGGAATTCTCGCACCTTTGGGGTCTTTGGGGCTGGGCTGTGCAGCCAGGTGACTACAGACGCAACTCTGCCCTTCCCATGTTCTCCACCTGAAAACTGGTTAATGAGGCCCATTCCTGACTTGTCCCCAGGGAGTACACGGGAGACTTAAGTTTAATTAACCTGCTAGAGACGCTCTTGAATCACTGGGCATGGTGCCTGGGCACAGTTAGAGCTGAGAGGCACGGTGATAAAACCTCTCGGCTCATCGCTCAGATTCAAGCCTGCGTGGGGCTGGTTGTGCTGACTTGTCTTGATGCAGATTTCCCCAGATATGTGTTCTGTCCTCGGCTGGTTTGCCAAATCCCTTACATGTCCCATGTCTTGTGGCAGCTTAGCTCCTCAAGCCTGAGAATGCCGTTGGTCTTCCTCTCCCTCCCCCAATGACACGCTGAGCCACTGCCTCTTCACCTGGTCACTGGCAGTCACTCACGAGCTCCCACTGGGACTTCGACAGATAGCTGCAGTTGATTGAGCAGCCACCATATGTCCCTTGGTCTTCTTAGTGACCCTCTGAAATGATTGGTAATGTCCCCATTTTACTGATGAGGAAATGGAGGCTCAGAGAAACAAGGTGCCCAAAGTCATAGCTATGAGTTAAATGGCCAGAGTCAAAATTCAAGCTCAGGCCTGAGTTCAAAGCCCAGGCTCCTAGCAAACAGCCATGCCTCCCCCAGTAAACCAGTTAGTCGGCCATAGATCCACTAACCTTCTCCTTGGGCCCCTTTGCTGGGTGCTGAGGGCTTCATACACACCACGGAGTAGAAACAGTCCTCCTCTCTCCAGGGGCCCTGAGCCTTCCCCACATGCACCAAGTGCTGTGACCCCTCCTGGTTGTTAACAAGGCAGAGAGAGAAAAACCCAAGCCCAGGACCAAAAACTACAGTGGTTCCTTCCAGAAGTATAACTAGGAAGACGTCACACGTGAATAGAGTGAGGCACGTTTGGGGTCAGTGAGGCAGCAATGGAGTGGATTTCCACACATTCACTCATGTTCACTTCCTGTGCCTCAAGCTCTTTGCTGCTGGCAACTCTCAGCTCGGGGAAGAAGGGAAGCCCCATTCAAAGCCCCAGACAATTCCTTAGGGTCAGTTTTTGGTTCAAGAAGACCTTCGCCTCATGCCATCTTTCTGCTAAATTAAACCAATGGAGATCCTTTCAAGGGTGAGTGCGCTGGGCTGTCCTGGTCAGTTCTCAGGGGGTTCTCAGTTCCTAACTTTCTTGCTCTCTTTCTTTCCCCAGGTGTTGACTTTAAGATGAAGACCATAGAGGTAGATGGCATCAAAGTGCGGATACAGATTTGGTGAGTTGGGTTGCGGGGGAGGACCTTGGGCTGCTCCCTACCCGCCACTGTCAAGAGTCAAATCCTAAGGCTTCATCTGGGACAACTGGCTACCTGTTGCATGGAGAGAAATGGAAGTCTCAAAGGCCAGCTCCGGCTCCCATGGGCCTTCATCTCTGATCTCATTCTTGAGAATCTTTATCAGATTGACCACAAGTCACCAAACAGGCAGGAATTAGAACACTTGGCAAACTAACTCCCGTGGGCTTGTCTTAGAATAAGGCTTTGTCCCTGGGCTGTGCCACCTTCTCATAGGTTTGGAAGGAGGAAGGGCTGTACACCCCCTCATTTTGGGTGGGACGTTGGTCAGAGTTTTCCTCAGGGCAGCACGGTGCAGTTCCCACAAGTAGCCACAGGGGGCTGCTGTGGCTCTCTGGGCCGCTGCTCCTGCAGGCACTCATGGCCTTTGCCAACAGGGAGAGTTGTCTCCCAATTTCAGATTGGTAAAGGCATTGCCTTCGGAGGCCCAATAGGGTCTGGAGGTGTAGTGGTCCAACCAGTCTGACCACACTGCCCAAATTCTAGAGAGCTGTCAAGGCCCAGTTATGGTTGTGCCTTCTGGTGCAGATGTATTTGACAGCGTCCTGCAAGCCCTGCAAGCACCAGGAGACCAGGCATCTCTCCTGCAGAGTCGGGTGTGTTCAGATCCCCTTAGAGACCAAAGCTCCATTCATTTTTCACCCTACGGCTCCCCAGTTTTCCTGCACAGGCACAGGGTCTCCCACCTCCTGCTCCTCCCCTCTCACTTGCTTCTGTGGTCCCGGCCCTTCTGAGGGACTGGCTTTCCACTACAGGGACACAGCGGGGCAAGAGAGATATCAGACCATCACCAAGCAGTACTATCGACGAGCCCAGGTGAGCCACCATTTTCAGGGGTCAGAGGTGGGATGCTGCCCCGACTCAGGGCTCTGCGTGTTTGAGGTATCTGTGCCACGCGCCCCCAAGACAGGGCCTTGGATTGCCTGCTGGGGAGGGGAGCCTCAGGGTGGTCTTTGAGGTGTTCATCAACCATTCATTCATCAATTATTCCTTGAGCACTTACTTCACCATCTCCCCCACCCTCACCCTTCACCCTAGGCCAAAGACCCAGGCCGAAGTGTTTGGCACCTTCCTATCTCAGAGAGTTCTATGGGGGGCCTAGGAAACAATAGCTTTGGGGGTCTGAGACAGAAGGAGATATTTCTGGGTGCTGAGGGGTCTTCGTTATGCTAAGCAGAGAGCTTGGAGAGTGGGATGCAGCATTTAAGGTACCGTGCCCGCTTCTGGCCCCATGACTGTGCACTGTCCCTTTGTGTACCTACCTCCCCCATCTCTCTCTCTCTCTCTCTCTCTCTCTCTCTCTCTTTCTCTCTCTCAGGGAATATTTTTAGTCTATGACATTAGCAGCGAGCGCTCTTACCAGCACATCATGAAGTGGGTCAGTGATGTGGATGAGGTAGGAGATGCTGCCTCCCTGTCAGGGTGGGGGAGGGCCCCTGGGAGGGGAAGGTGATGGGAGGGCCAGACGGGAAAGGTCGGAGCTCCTGGGGTTGGCGAGTAAATGCTACCAGGAAACCTCGCTTCCACAGCCTGGGTGAAGACCTTGGGTAAGCACAACATGAGGAAGGAGCCCGAGCTGCCATGCCCTCCACGCCCTGTACCCTGCCAGACTTCCGTTTTTCCCCAGAAGTGAGTCAGGTCAAAGCCTGCCCTGTGAACAGATTCTTTCCTGAAATCTCAGGACTCTGCCATGGTAGCTGTGGAGCCTTGGGCGAGCCATTTGAACTCTTGCGTCCACAGTTCCTTATCTATAGAATGAGGGGTTGGACTTAAGCCCAGCATCCTTTCCGGCTCAGATACCAGTTGTCCATTCCAAGGAAGCACTGGAATTGGCCAGAGTGTTTCCTACCCTAAGCTCTCCCCATGACACCCCTCTGAGACCTCTGGGGTCAGCCATGGTTCTTGGGGGAGCCTGGCACCTGCACCCAGTCGGCGCACTCTGTCCCTCGGGCTCATAAACTTGGTGCTGTTGGGGAGGCCGGTATAGATAGTGTGGCAGGGATATGGGAGGGAAAGCCAGCACTCACTGGCGGTTCTGCCTGTCCTTTGTCCCTAGTATGCACCAGAAGGTGTCCAGAAGATCCTCATAGGGAATAAGGCTGATGAAGAGCAGAAACGGCAGGTGGGAAGAGAGCAAGGGCAGCAGGTAAGTGGGAGGGAGCTGGCTGAATCCATCCCTGGGGTTTTCCACTACCTTCCAGGGCCAGTCTTGAGAGTTGGGGCCCAGGATTCTCTTACCACCATCAAGCACCTTCCTACCTCCTATGGTAGCCTAGGGCACTGGGTGAGTTGCCATCCTTGAGAGTGGGCTTTCTGTCCTTCAGGACAGTGATTTGGGGTCCATCCTGATACAAAAACCTCTTGGGAAGCAACTCTCCCAGCTCCAAGTCCCCCCAGGGCAAAATTACCTCTGCTTAAGAGCTCATCCCAGTGTTAGTGGTGAGGAAGGGCTTCACGTTGCTGACTTCCCTAAGAGCAGCCAGGCGTAGCAACCATCTTACAGCCACCCACCCCTTCACACCCACTCCCTGCCCTCCTTGCGCTTGGAAGAGGTAGGAAGGTAAGTGAGGGAACGAAGGGCCCAGAGTCAGATGCCTTGAGGGCAGAGAGGGTAGGAAGATGGTGCTGAGAGGTTGTCAAGGATACAGGGAGACCGTCCTCCCAGAGAACAGAAAGAAAGACAGATACCACCGGGACAAGAGTCACCTAACCACTCCGAGGGCCTCAAGAGCTTTTTTCCTACCTCTTCAGTCAATAGCATTCCCTTAGCACTTAAGATAAAATTGATTTTTTTTTTGTTTTTTTTAGTATTAAAAAATATGACATAGTCATTAAAGAACTTGAGAGTAGAAGCAAACCCCACTAGAATAATAGTATTTGTTGAGCGCTCTATGTGCTAAGCAAGTGCTTTGAGATGTATGACCCCATTTAATCATTTCACAGCCTTGGTTAATAGACACTGTCATCCCCCCTTAACAGATGACAAAAACCTGTGGCGCAGAGAGAACAAATACCTTGTCCAAGGTGTACAGCCATTAAGTGGCAGCACTGACATTCAAGTCTGGGCCCCTTTGACCAGTAGCCTGTGTTTTTCTTTAATTTGCCCTATTGCCACAACATTTTGGTGTCTCGGACTCCTGATATATGATGCCTGTTGAGTGTGTTTGTCTGTTCTAGCCTATGTCTTAGAAGAAGCACTGAGCCTCATCTGAGCAGTTACCTACTCTGAGAAATTGTCAACACCCCATGAGCTGTGAGGGCAATGGCAGAAGGAGGTGCCACGTGCTATGGCACCTCCCTTCCCTTACTGATTCCCTTTCAGGAATGTCCTTCTCTTGCAGCTGGCTAAGGAGTATGGCATGGACTTCTACGAAACAAGTGCCTGCACCAACCTCAACATTAAAGAGGTGAGGACTCGGAAGCCCAACCAGCCGCCCTCTGCCACTGGCTGAGCCTGGAGTGGGGAAGCCAGAGGAGAAGCTGGCAGATAGGACCCCAGATAAGATGAGCCCTCACCCCTTGGGCATTACAGGGTCGCAAGAGGAAGAGGAGGACAGACCGGACTAACCTGTGCCCCCGGTTTTTTCCCAGTCTTTCACACGTCTGACGGAGCTGGTGCTGCAGGCCCACAGGAAGGAGCTCGACGGTCTCCGGACACGTGCCAGCAACGAGGTGGCACTGGCAGAGCTTGAGGAGGATGAGAGCAAACCTGAGGGCCCAGTGAACTCTTCTAAAACCTGCTGGTGCTGAGGATCCTACGTGGAGCACCCACAAATCCCCCCTCCCCTCAGGAGGCCTGTGGGCAGACAGGGAGTCTGGGCTTTGCCCTGCTTTTCCTCTCATCTGGGTGACCCCGTGGAATAGCAGCAGCAGCTGCTGCTCCCCCTGCCTGGCCCTGAGAGCAACTCGGCACTCCGCTGTCACCTCTGAGCAGCCCCTGCCCCCAGCCCTGCCCCCCGGAGTGGTATTCTTCAGCCCGTTCCCTCCTGCAGGCCTGCTCGGAGCCCCGGCCGTGCCCGAGCGCTCTCGCTGCCCAGCTCCCCAGACAATGGCCCGTCTGGAGTCGAGGCCACTTTAAGGCTCCTTAGTGCATCTTGTCTCCTGTCAGCTTTCTTTCTCTCCTTACCTCTTCTCTTTGTCCCCTCAAGCCCTTTTCCCTGTGTGGCCTGCTTTGTGGCTGCTGGTGCAGCTTCTTTCTTTCCTCTCTTCCTAACCCTGTCCAAGCTAATGGGCTCAGGCTCACGGGGATGTTCCATCTCTGCTCCTGGGAGAACCCTCGCCCTGCTTTGTGAGTGGGCCAAAGGCGATGGGGTGCCTCTTCCCACCTTCTCCTCCCCACCGTCCCTTTTTGTGCCATCGGCCTGCCTCGCCTGTGATCTGGGAAAGTGGAACATCAAGGTAGGAAGGAAACACCGAACGTGGCCCTTAGCCTGGGGCTGCGCTACCTCTCCCTGCCCGGCCCCCTTCCGCTCCAGCTCTGGCCTGGCTTGCCTGCCTGCCCGCCTGCCTCTTGGGGACCTGAGCTTGGAGGCAGGTGCTTCAGAGAAGACAACAAAAACAATGAGGGGTGGCAGGGATAAAAATCGCCTCCATTCTCTACCTCCCATGCAGTGTGTACACAGTTTCTCCCCACCTGGGCTCTTGAATTTAAAGACGGGAACCAAAGCCTGGGGGCACTGGGGCAGCAAGGAGAGCCCCGAGGGAGTGACTGACAAGCCAATCCAGAAAGAGGAGCTTTTGGAAATGAAGGACTAGTTACTATGTATCAAGCTAAGAGCAAGGGTGAGCAGGCCAGGGACAGCAGTTTGCAAACCAAAGGGAATGTGGGCTCTCTGGGCCCCACTTTCCAGTTCTTGTCTAAGAAGAGCAGTTCCACTGACTCCCTGGCAGGTGGGAAGTGAGGCCTTCACAGGACCCAGCCTTCGGCCCAAGGCTTTCCTGAGACCCAAAGTTTGTGGCAGAAGAGCGGGGACTTCATGGGGGAAAAGGAAGCAGGCCCTGCTTGGTGCTGCTCTCTTCAGCCTGCAAGACAGAGTGCTCTTCTCACCCCTCTAGTTCCTGAGGAGGAGCCTTGAGGGTCTGCCAACCGCCCTGTGGGCGCTGTGGCTGCCGGTGGAGGGAACAGGGCTCCTCCAGAGCTCTTTGTTCAGGAAGAAGGTTTTTAACCCAATATGGCCCACGGGAGAAATAAGTGAGTTACCAGCCCTAGAAGGGCTCCTCCCCACCTTCCTCAGTAGGAGGATCATTCTTAAGCTACGTATTAGGCTGCACAGCATGGCTGGGGCTAGAGCTACAAAAAAAATCACTGGGCATTGAGCATTCACCAACTAAGGACCAAAACCCAGGGCACACCTACATGAAGGATTAAGAGTCCCACTCCTTTACTCCAAAAAAGTTGGGGGATAAAATCACCAAACCATCCCTCCAGACTCTCATTAAACCAGGAGATGGTAGCTGAGGATGGAGGGACAAGGGGTAGGTGGCATAGCGGAAGGAAAAGAAGGGCAGGAAAAGCTGTAAGTCAGAACGGCAGAGAGAAGACTCCAGGATGCAGTCCTGGCTAGGGCCACGGCTATGGGTGCTTCCTGGAGGACCCCCCAGTTGTCAGGACACAAGCAGCATCACCCTGGGGGTGGGGAGGTCGGCAACGCCAGCCCTCAACCCCGACTTCAGAAAAGGGAAGTCACACGCTTTGGCTTCAACCTGTACATCAGTATTGCAGCTCTCCCTGAAGATCAGGCAGAGCCCCGCCACCTTTCTCCTACCCTCTCAGGACAGAGGAACTCTGTTTTAACTGTGCCCTAGGGGTTCAGGAAGGAAAAACAAGGGGTCGTGAGTCTGTGGCCTGATTGGCCCCACTCTAGGACCACGGCTGGGGAAGGCCTGCAACCTGGAGGAGGGCTGGGCTGTTAGGTGCAGTTACACTCAACAGGTCCCAGAGTCGGCCATCACCCCTAACTTCTCCAGTCCCCGAGGCGGCCTGGGGTCTGGCATTAGGCCCAGACTGTTGAGCAGGTGCTCCTGCCTGTTTACTCCTCACCACCTCTGCACCTGCTGTCCTGAGACTCAGCCCAGCCCCAGGCCCTCCGCCTGCTCCTGAGCCCCCACCATCTCCCTGCGACGGGTGAACTTTGTGTACTGTGTCTTGGGTCCAGTATATGAATTGTGAGCAGGGTTCATCTATTTTAAACACAGATGTTTACAAAATAAAGAATATTTCAAACCACAGGTATGGCTGCCTCTATGAGTCCCTGGGAGTAGGTCTCACTCAAACCCTGGCAGTTAAAGGAAAACAATGGCAGCAGAATGACAGTGGGTGTGACAAACGTCCTCTGTTTTATACCTTTCCTAACGCCACCTGCTGGGGAGCCCCATGCAAAGCCCCCCTTGCTCTGCGATGGGCTTACATTGCAGAAATAAGACTGAGCAAAATCATTGAGATGATGGATATCGATGTCCCTGGGAGTCTTTAAGGCCGAGAAGGTTCTCATCTGTCAGATGGAACAGGGACAGGCTTTCTGAAGGCATGAGGAGGAATTCAGTCATCTTTCAGAAGTTCCCCTCAGCCGTGTGACTGAATACTCCAGGGGAGCAAGGCAGGCTGGAATCTTAGGGGCATGGGGGTGGTGGTAGACATTGAATGCTATACAGCATTTGAGATACAGCGTTGGTGGAAGAGGCAGAGAATATTTGAGGTTAAAGATCAATTGATGAAGGAAGGAGTTAAACAAGTCCAGGCAATAGTCCAAGATCTTAACCTAGGCCTTCCAGCTTACACAGTGCTTGTAATGCTTTATTTCCTCCATCCCACCAATTATACCTGTGTGAGATAAGGAAGGTGATTATCTTGGTTCAACAGATAAGGAAACAGGTGACTAACGGCCCCAAGTAACAGCGGCAGAGTCGTGGCTAGAGACCAGTGAATTGAAATTTCTGGAGTGGAAAACTTTGCCATCTCTATTTAGAAAAGTCTCTATAAGCAATTCTCATTTGCAGCCAGAGTTGCAAACCACTGCCCTAAGCTTTCCACCTGCTAAGCCTGTGCAGTTTCCAGAACAAGTGTCCTTGTGGAAAGCTATGGGACTCAAGCACTTAGTGCATGTCACAGAGTTGTAAGCTTCTGGAAAGTGGGCTGTTTTTGAGGTAAAGTTGGACAAGAGGACTTTTAGGAAAGCCTCATCAATTTTTTTTCAGTCGTGAAAGGTGATAACCTGGGTGACTGAAAGGGTCTTGAGCCATTCCTGGAGAAAGTGGATGGTATGTACCTAAAGGAGGGGGGACCCCCACTCCTCAGCTCAGGAACTTCCATGGCCTTCCCAAGAGGGGTCATAGAAGGGCAGCCAGTAAGTCGTGTCTGGAAGTCCAGAGAGTTCTGGGAAAATGCGAGGCATGCACGTAAATCTGGAACGTTCATGTTAAAGTTTAGCCCGCCATCAAGGTCAAGTCCTCTGACTCAGTGGCTTTGTAGGGACATTTATGGGCTGCTTCTGGGAATTCTACCTAGCCTCAGCAAGGGACATATTTCATGCTGCATTTCCTGCTACCTCGTCTTACTGACCAAAGGTTCCATTCCCACGTAGATAATGGAGACTTGTTTTTAGTGAGATGCATGGGTTCCCACATGCTGTAAGCAACCGTGGGACAGGCTACAAAAGAGAAAAGCTGGGCATTTCCTGGCAAGTAAGTCTCTGTCTTCTCAATAGAACAGACTCTCCAGCCCAGCTGCTGCCAGCCTCATTTATTCTTTGTTCTAGGAGACTGTTCCCCATGGGCATGTACCGGCAAAGACAGTCTCTAGTAAACATTTGCACTGTTATTGAAATTTCACTCTAAAATCCCAAAGCCAGGTAAAGGCTAATTGCCAGTTTCACTGATGGAGAAATCCAGGCATTTTTAAAAAGTGATTTGTTGAGTTGGTAGGTACTTAGAGGGATAAAGTAAAGCATTAGGTCTTTCTAGTAGTTTCTGCGGGCTTCCAGGGTGTGCTCACACCATGCAACCCTTAGCAGGACCCCAGGTGGCCTGCAACACTCTGCGCAGCTGGTGTTGAAAACATCAGAGGGGGCTGGCTGGGTCTAGAACCCAGCCGTTTGACTCCCTGTGTACTTCCTTCTGCAGGGGAATTACCGGCACAAACCCTCTGGGAAGTCTTAGGGACTGAGCCTTTGAAAAGAGGTAGTTGTGGCTCATGCCCTCTGAATTCCCCCACCTGCTATGTGACAGGAGTCACCCTTGCCCTGGCCACAGCAGACTGCTTCCTCATGACCCCGTGGAAGTGAGGTATCCGGTAAAGAGAAAGTCATAATAGAGAATATATAAAGTGAAGTCTATTTTAACCAAGCTGCTAAAATTATTAACGGTATGGAAGTTGAGGCATGAGGAATGACTCCATTCTTACTCTAATTAACCTGGGAACTTAGCCTTCTTTGAACTTCCTAGTCCTGTATATACATCTGGACCTGCAGGTAACCCTCGGAGACCCACACATGCATCCACCTGACATCCATTATCCAGACCACCAGGGCCTGACCTGACCTCCTGGTACCTGCCTTCCAGACCACCTGGCATCTGTCATCCTCACTGCTTGACACCTGACTGCTAACTGCTCTGGACCCATCTTAGGGCTAAGAATGCAGGACTGATCATTCTCAAGTGTGTACTTTTTCCTAAAAGATTTTTTAACTTTTCTTTCTTCTTTGGAACACTTCTGGGTTTTTGCCTAGCTGTGTTCCATTTGCAAACTCCAAAACCTTTGAATAAATCTCTACTATGTATTTCTAGCAAGGCCTCCAGACTTCTGTGGAATACGCCTGACAGGGGAGTAGAAGGGGAGATGGCACAGTGCAGGGGCAGAGGCAGAGGCAGGGGTAGAAGTGCTCCTGAGCACAAGCAGCATCACTCAGCAAAGGAATTTGCAAGACAAACACACTTCATCTCTTCAGCCTGGTGCAGGCTGAGGCCTGAAAGCCATTGTTTCATAAAATCACACACTGTTCCCCCAGGGGTCCCTTTGACTCCTATGGAGCCAAAGCCAGAAAGCAACAGCCAGAGAGAACAGTAACATGTATATTTCAGTTGTAGCCTGAATCAAGGGGACATGCGTCCCAATTCTCTTCCTCCTCTTTCAGATCTCGGCAGACTCTGACCTCTCCGTTGCACAGTTCAGAGCTTGGCACTCAGCAGGTACTCAATAAACGTCTGCACCCTGGGAAAACAACTTGTTGGGGCTAGTAAGAGTCAATCCTGTGTCCCTCCCTCCCTTTTTTCCTCCCTGGCGACCTTTGGGGCTCTGGTTTCCAGCAAGCAGTGAATTATTCATGTCTGCTCATAGATATCAAATTGGTCCTTCCCAGGTTGCCAGCAGGGTGGGGCAGGGAGGTGGCTTTGTTCAGTCCGTAAATAGGAGCAGCCTCCTTGTTCAAACAACTCTTGCAGGTCGGTGACTGTTTTTGCTAAGTCATCCTGGGGATGCTCAAAGGCCCATTGTGAGCGAGATCCTTCCTGTCCTTTCAGGCTCCTCCTCCCTCCCCACCCCTTTAATAGGTCCTTAAGTGCGCCACTCCGCCAGGCTCACCCTGCACTTTCACCATGGCTTACATTGCCAAGTCGTTCTACGACCTTTCTGCTGTCAGCGTGGATGGGGAGAAGGTAGATTTCAACACATTCCGAGGCAGGGCAGTGCTGATTGAGAATGTAGCATCGCTCTGAGGCACAACCACTCGGGACTTCACCCAGCTCAACGAGCTGCAATGCCGCTATCCCAGGCGCCTGGTGGTTCTTGGCTTTCCTTGCAACCAATTTGGACATCAGGTGAGGGGTCCCTTGAATTGCACTCAAGGAGTTGGGTGGTCTAGTAGGCTAAGGGGAGGGAAGAAAGAGTATGCATGTTGGAGTGTCTGGAATCCTGGTGTGTGTTTTGTTAATCTAGGTCTTTAGTACCTGTGCCTACCAAGGGGAAGTACATATGGATTCTAACTGTCTGTGATCAAAGACTGAGGGTGTGGATTTTTTTTTATTGTCTTCCCCCTATACTCCATGAGGGCTGGTACCAGGTCAGTTTTTCTCTCTGTTGTGTCATCAGTGCCTTGGGTCAGAAGACACTCAAGGGCTATTTGCTGAATAAATGAATGGAGGAAATAGAAGATCAAGAATCAGAAGAGGGTTGAACTGATTCATTAGGCCTTAGTTCTAGCTAGCATTGGCTCTGTTATGTAATGGCTCTGTGCCCTAGGAAGAGTCACTCAATTTTTCTGTTTTAGTTTCCTCATCTGTACATTAGGGATAATACCACTCATCTCACAGGATTATTGTGAGGCTTTGAAGGTAATATAAACAAAAGCAACTTGAAAGATATAAAGTTATGCAAATGCAAGCAACTTTATTATTTAGGATTGAAGGGTTTTGTTTGTTTGAAATCAGCCAAGTGGAGAGTGAATTTGGGGGAAAGCTAAGGGTGTGCAGTGTGCGTGTGTCCCTGGGCACCACCTGCACCCCTCTGTCTCTGATTACTGGGTCAAGTTGTTCTAGATCTTCAGCCCACACGTGTCAAGTTATCTTTTAGGGATTCTTTATTTTCACGTATTATTTTAACAGTGCAAGCAGGAAGGATGTCCTCAACTGAATCCTCTTATAACCCCCTTAGTTCTGTTCACAATGGCATGAAGAGAAGGAAGAGGTGAGCAGGGATACATCAGGAAGGCTGAAGTGTCCTGGCTGTGACACACCTGAGCCCAAACCATTGCTGGCCTCTGACTGTTCCTTCCCTGTCTCAGTTTGTTTCTAGGCTTGGCCAAAGCAGGAGAGCTAGAAAGGGCAGAACCCCTTTAGATGTCTGTCTGGCCCTGCAGACACCCCCAGCCTTACATCACTTCAGGCTAGCTAGTTGCTGCAGGGAGTCCATAACCTACCAGTAGACAGACAGCCATTTGCGCTAGAGATAAGAAGTCTAATACAGATCAACTCTGGGCTCAAGATGTCACGATGACCTAGAACCGACTGTACTGATTGGTCCTAGTAGGCCAGAAGCAGGAACTTTCTCCCAGAGGGAGATATCTGACTCTTAGACTTGGAGGGGGGTGGAAAATGAAGGTTTCTGTGGGCCCTTGGGGGATGTCATGGGTGGGGAATGCTGATGGGGACAGATCAGTGATGGCAGTGGGGAGGGAAAGACAGGTGACAGGTTCAGGCTAAAACATTCATAGCTGAGCAGAGTGAGTGTGAAGGGCAGAAGTCTTGGAATAGCAGTCTAGAAGTGAAAGGAATGATAATTACATATTCACAACCTTTAGCCCTCAAGCACTTAATTTCCCTAATTTCCTTTCCTTTCCCCGGCCTATTCTAGAACCCTATACCCTCTATCCTGTTTAATTCACCCCTGTTAGTCACTAAGTAATTACATTTAGAATATATTCATTGATGTCTCTAACTCATTTTGCCTTTGTGGCACCTGAAAATGACTTCCTTCATAAAAGCTTCCCCCTACTTGCACTTCAGGTGTAGGACAAGGCAAGATGAAAGCAAGAAGCTATAAATCCCATTCCCCTAGGCCTCGATTTCACCCTTAGTGTGAGGAGCTGAGAAGGGCAGAGCCAAAGGCCTCAATGCTCACGTGTAAATTGAAGCAACAAAGGCAAAACCAGGACAGAGGGAAAGGCAAGGTGGTAGCGGGATGTGTGTGTGTCGGTGTGTGTAGCTAGGGAAGTCAAAGGAGGGTTCTAGGCAGTATGACCTGAGCCTCCATTCCCTTTCTACTGCTCTGAACCTAAGGTGCCTTGAAGCCTCAGAGAGATCCCTTAAGAACTGCTCAGGGTAGATTGGAGAGAGAAGCAACAGATCAAAAATGCTAAATCTGTCAGTAGAAGAACAACCAAGCTAGGAACTGAAAAAACTTTCAGAAATGGCCTAGCAGAAAACATCAGTAGCTGTGAGAGGGAAAACTCTGAAGTCAAGAGTAGGGCAAAGCAAATAAAGGAAGGAAGAAAAGGAACAGAGAAGGGAAAAAAGGATCTGTAGAAAAGAATGATCCTGGGAAGTGATCACATAGGAGGCGAAAGATTTGCATGTTGTGAACCCATTTCCCTCTCCCCTTCTCCATGCTCTTTCTCTTTTTCCTCCCCCAGGAGAACTGTCAGAATGAGGAGATCCTGAACAGTCTCAAGTATGTCCGCCCTGGGGGTGGATTCCAGCCCACCTTTACCCTTGTCCAGAAGTGTGAGGTGAATGGTCAGAATGAGCATCCTGTCTTCGCCTACCTGAAGGACAAACTCCCCTACCCTTACGATGACCCATTTTCTCTCATGAGCGACCCCAAGTACATCATTTGGAGCCCAGTGCGCCGCTCCGATGTGTCCTGGAACTTTGAGAAGTTCCTTATCGGGCCGGAGGGGGAGCCCTTCCGACGCTACAGCCGCACCTACCCCACCATCAACATTGAGCCCGACATCAAGCGCCTCCTCAAAGTTGCCATATAGACGCGAGCTGCTTTGCACACAGGTCTCCTACTCCATCCAGCCCCTAAGAATCTTTCCTGAGGATCCAGTGTGCCCTCAGGAGTCACTACTGGCCCTAAGCTTTCCCTTGAGATCAGTCCCCTTCACTGAAGTGCCTTGCCTTTCCCGTCTGCCTGTATCCCTTCTCTCTTTCCCAGTCTTCTGGTTGGGGATTTCAACGTGGGCCTCCAGCGCGTGGGTGGGCTCCGGGCCTTCACAGAATGATGGCACCTTCCTAAACCTGTGTGGACGGTGTCTGAGACTCGTGAAGGGCCCCCAGCCAGCCTCCTAGCTGAGTCCAATAAAGGGCAGGTGTGGAAATGGCCAGGTTCTCTGTGTCTTCTTCCTCGACAGGGAAGCGGGATGGCAGTAACTGCAAGTGGGCACACAAAGGCTTGGGGAGGGAGGGCTCTGATCAAGGGGACCCTCTAGTTACTGTGCAGAAAGCAGGCTCTGGTAAAGGTCTGCAGAGGCAGGTGGAGTTGCAGGAAAGTAAAATGTATTATTACTTTATGGCTCTTCTCCAGAATTGTGGAAAGGAGGTGAAAATGAGGAGTAAAGACGAGGAAAGATAATGGGACCTTCGTTTGAGAGTACTAGGAGATTAGAGGATTCCAGTTAGGAAGAAGTCGCTATCAGTGCGGGTACCGGGCCAATTAGATATTAGCAACACCTTGAAAATTTCCTGGGAAACCAGTCTGGTGAACTTTGACTACAGCAAGGGCATGGAAGGTGAAGTTACTGACACACAAAGGACAATTCACCCGTTTCCTGATCACCTTGCTGAGAAACACTTGTTTTTGATCCTTTGTTAGACTGACTCTCCCTCCTTCATAAAGTTCACATTACACCCTTGTCTTCCTCAGACTCACATGATCACAAGTTCAGCACAAGACAAACAAACTTAGGCATGAACAATTCACTGGTTTCATGTCTTCTTTCATGAGGGCGGGGATGGCAAAGGGCCTGCCTTCACAGTCAGGCTGTTCACAACCTGCCAAAGGGACAGCCGTTCTTTGGGACGAGAGAGCTTCGCCGAATGGCTTGGTGAGGACACTGCCCCAGATTCCCCATTGGGTACTGGCATTCAGAAGACATCACTGCCACCAAGGCCAGGGCCTGCTGTGTTCCGGAAAAAGACACTTGCTGAAAGTCCACTGCCCTGTCACTTTGCCCTACAAACCTCACCTCTTTCTGGAAATGTCTCATTTCACTTTTCGTTCTTTGACCACTAGGTGGAATATTTTACTTCTTTACTGAAGAAGCCCTTGAAGGAACAGTTCCCCAAACTGAACACACTGCTTGAGAACCCCAATGCTGATGGGGAAATGCTTGTCCTATAATGCTCCCAGAACTGTTTTCTAAGCACTTGCATCATCTGAGAAGCAAATGTGGAACAGAGGTTAAGGATCCCCACTGTCTGACCCTCAACTAAAGCTTTCTTTCAAAAGGGTCCCCTGAGTTGTATGGTGGGGACCCCCTGGCATCCTCCTGCAGGGCCTTCTGCTACATTAAGGCTGCCCTTAACTTGACTCTGGTGAAATCGAGCCTTTCAAGATCCCGGGTATTAGGGTATGGATTTCGGGGGGCAGGACCAAGCACTGCTTTTAGAGTAATAACCAGAGACAAACTGCTTCCCTGAAGAAATGAAACATAAAATTCACGCTGGATGCTAGAATGATTTGTTCATCATCTTGATAGTGCTATAGACTGTAGTTATATCCAATGATAGAGTCGGGTATACTGAATGTTGGCATAATGCTACAGGCAATTTAGGGCCTGATATGCCAGTACAATGTGTTGGGTCTTTCCCATGAGGCTCAGGTTGAAAGTTAGAGGTCCCAAAGGAATGGAAATTACAGTGTAAGTGATTTTGCAGTCAGAAAGGGCTATAATGCTAGGAAGAGGGCTCCTCACTTGAGCAGGGAAAATGCTATTTGCTTCAGAAGGAGGCTGACCAAACTGGCTCAGGAAGGAACAGAGAAGGACTGGAGGAACTTGTTTTACAAGACATTCTTTTACTGCATCTTCACTTGTGCTGTTGTTAAACTGAAGAGAAATGAGAAATTGTTTCCTTTCCTTAATTCCTCATCTTGTTTGTCACTCTTTACATCCTCAGAAGCATCAGCTTATGGTCAGAAACAGACAAAACAAAGCTTAATATAATCACCCATTTTCCTAGATCAACAACATCATTTAATCAAATTTCCCTAGGGCTCTCAGGAGGCAGGGAGAAGCCTCATAAACAAGCCTTCCCAGAAGCGCTGAGGCAATGCTACTGATTTAGAGGACAGATAGAGACAATACCTTCTCTGAGGGCTTCTACAATATAATAGCTTGGAAGGTGATTCTAGAGGACCAAGGTACAGGTTGAAACCGATGATTATTTCCATGACTCTGTTCCCACAGCTATTTGCTCTTGTTTAGGAAGGAGTTAGCCAAACTCTAGTTGGTGACTTCACATCTGGTGATTTCTTATAATCACCATCACAACCGTCATCCATTTATTATACTCATTTACTCATTTATTATACCATTTATTATACTCATATACTACCCTAAGTACTTCAGGTAGGTTAGGTTAGTTAATCCTCACGCTGACCCTGTGAGGAATTTTTCTATTTGAAGAGAAGGTAATTGAGTAAGACACCTGCCAAGGACAAAGGGCTATAGAGTAGCAGAGTTGAAAGTTAAACCCAGGTCAGCCCAGCTCCCAAGCCCCTCTCTTCGACCATGACAATACTGCTTCCTTCTATCTCAATTTCTGTATAAAGGCCACTGACAACTGCCTATACACCACTATACAACCTAAAAACCTTTCACTTATATTTTATAATTAAAAACTCCACAAAGGAAGTACGATTATTTCTACTCTTCCACTGAAGAAACCAAGGTACAGAGAGAATAAGTGACTTGCCTAATAGTCCACTGTGAGCAGGTGGCAACACCAATTCTAGACGTGGGTTTCTTGATTTCCTTTCTCCCCAGCCATAGTGTATCTCATAAAAGAGACTTGCACTACAGTCAAGAAATACACATTTTAAAACCAAGAGCCTCAAATTAAGTCAAGTAACTTAACCTTCCTCAGAAAAGAACAAATCTGAAAGGATTCTTTATACACTGAAATAAAGAACACTGAACATAGACTCTTTAGTGATAACTTACAAGTAACAAACCATATCTGGTTGTGCCCAGATTATATCATATGTCAATTAATTAGTGTTGGGAGAACCCAGAACCATTTGAGAAAGACAGAGCTAGCTAAAATGACACAACAAATATGCTGACCTTTGAATTCTAAGAGTTGAACTCCACAGACCCCAGATGCAAGCAGAGAAAGAATCAGGTGTCAGGACAAGCCCACGTCCTCAATTACACATGCAGGTGAAGTTTTTTCCTTCTTTTATCTCAGGGTAGGAAGGTAAAAAAGACTGATGCTTCTGCCTGTTCCTCTTTATTTAAACAGAAAAATAGAAACTCAGTAGAACTGGGTTCAACAGGTCTTTATTCTTTTAGATCCAGAGCAAATTTCTAGAAGATGAAAAAAAAAGTATCACAAAACATAGCGCAATGTTGGTATAATAATAATAATAATAAAATATATGGATAGGATCTTATATTTTAAATTTGTATTGTCCAAAATAGATAATTACACATTATGTAATAGATGGTGAAAACAGTAAGGGCATATAAAATCATACTCTTGAGCTCCAAATGACTAAGTTGGAAGCATTCAAACTCCAAGAAGGGACAATTCAGAGGCTATAATGGGCTTAGTGCTGTTATTTAAAGTAATGAAGCATTTTCTCTGCTTTCTGGATTCATTTCACCAAATGATTTCCTCAGCAGGTCAGATATAGATTTGCAGAAAGTGGAAAACATTTTCCAGGAATAAAACCACTGATTCCCAAGAGGCAGCTGACTTAACTATTCCAAATAATTAATCTTGGACTGACATGCCTAGATTTCTCAGAGTGTGGTCACTGATACTCTCAAGCTCTTCCTGACCTTGAGACGTTTATACTTCATGTGTACTGAACACTCTTGTTGAGAGGGTGTCAATGGACTAGCTGCGTGACCCTGAGTAAGCTACTTCTGAGTAAGCTACTTTGTTTCTTGTGCCTTAGTTTCTTTGCCTCTAAAATCTGAATGATAATAGTAGTTACCTCAAGGAGTTGGGAATGAGGATTAAATAAGGGCTTAAAAAGGCCTTGGCAAATAGTAAGTATTCAATAAACCTCAGCCATTATTATTCCTATTACATATCAAAGCTTTTCTCTGGTATCAATAATGAACATTTTGCTCACCTTTTTTTTTTTTTTTCCTTATAAAAGCCTTAGTTCAGAATGCCCAAGTCCCTTAGATCTGAAGAGGAAAGAATTTTGTGTCTAATGCCTGACCTTTTTAAGTTTGGTCTCACAATGAGAAGAACTAACTGAAGCCCTCTCATTGATTCATTCACTATTCATTGGATCTCCAACTATACTGTAAAGAAAGTATAACATCAATTCTTATGAGCCCATTTTTAAAGAAGGGGACAATAAAGTCCAGAGTAATGCTTTGCTTAGTGGTTATACTGCTACCAAATGGCAGAGAGGCCTAAATGTCAGGGTTTATGACACCCGAGCTAGTGTTCTTTCAAGGTAAGACCTTCTAAGATCCCTTTGGAGCAAGTGAAACCATTCTATTTATTTATATTAACCAAAATCCACACTTTATTCAGATTTCCCCGGTTTTCACCAAATGTCCTTTTTCTGGTGCAAGACCCCATTCAGCATACATGACATTTAGGGAGTCAGGTCTCATTAGGTTCTTTTTGGCTGAGAGAGTTTCTCAGACTTCTTTGTCTTTGATGACTTGTTAGTTCTAAGCAGCACCGGTCAGGTATTTTGTAGACTGTCCCTTGACTGGGATCCGTCTGATATTTTTCTCATGATTAGACTGGAGTTATAGGTTTTGGTGAGGAATGCTACAAAGGTAAAGAGCCATTCTTATCACATCATATCAACGATACATGCTATTACATGGCTTATCACCGACGATGTTAATCTTGCTCTTGGCTAGTGTTTGTTTCCCCTTTCTATACTATACTCCGGAAGGAAGTCACCACAAACCCACATTTAAGGAGTGGGGAGTACTTACATTCATTATTTGAAAATCTTTTGTATGGGAGATTTGCCTATTCTAACTTGTGTATTTATTTATTCAGTCATTTGTTTATATCAGTATGGACTCATGCATTATTTGCTTTATAGCTTGGGTTATAATCCAATGTTATTTTTTTATTCAAATTGTTCCAGCTTTGGTCACCGGGAGCTCCTCCAGCTGGCTCTTTTGTCCTTCTGACACACCCAATCATTGTGATTCTTTCTAAGCACTTTCTTTTTCTGTGGTACAAGATGTTCCAAGTTCATCTTGTATATTTATAGCTCCAGTCCTAGAATAAGTCATTTCTCCAAGCAGCCCTGGTTCCTTGTACCAGAACCAAGGTCTGGGCACTAGGTGTGCTCCCATTCTGGCTGCACTGATGTGAACTAGGAATTTCAGAAAGACTCTCAGCTCTAGAGAACACTAATCCCCTAAATTACTTCTTTTCTTTCAAAGAATAGGTAAGTCCAGGCAGAAAAAAATATGCAAATGATTTCCATTATAAACTAAGTAAGACAAACCATCAGGCTTGTTGTATTGTAAACCAACACAACACAGTTACAACAGAATTGCAGAAGGATCCTTAGAATAACAGACTCATCTGTCGGGGGTCATCAGGGAGAATGCTGATAGTATCTTCAGCTTTGCCACATAACAAACACAGCATGGTGTACTCCTAGAACAAGATAAAATGCATAACTACTGTGAGGAACAGGGAGAAAGAGGCTTCCTAACTTACTCAGGTAAGACTGTTCTCTGTATTGTCATGGACAGTCTTTCTGTACATTAGATCAATTTCAATACCTATAAGCAATGTCTTAGTTTTATTCTGTGTACCTCAAAGCCTTTTGTGTGTATAAACTGAAGACATATTGATCCTCTGTTTACTTATACAAGAATGTCACCTTGGAAATGCCTGGCCATTTCTTGGACTTAAAAAATACACATATTGGGCTTAGTTAGTGCTATTTGAAGTAATGAAGCACTTTGAGCATGGGCCCCTAAGGACAAATTCCTGATCTTAGAGCTGTTTCTTTCTAGGATATTTAATACTAATAGGCAAGAAAAATGATTTTAAAAACAACAAAAAAGGGAGAAAATTCCTAACCCAAAAGGTATTTTTATCTACCCCAAGGAAATAAAAAATTATGTTAAATCCACTAGTATCTTAAGCATGCCTCATATTTAGGTAGCTAGTTGTCTAGAATTTGATCTATTTAAGGAATTTTACGTTCCTTGGGTTTAACAAATGTTCAGACTAGTGACAGAAGGGATTTTGTTTTAGGTAAAAATGCTTAGGGCAAAGTCCTGTTCTTACAGTGGTACCTTTCTAGAATATATGCTATGGTTCTAAATTATAGAGACATATCTTTTAAACCCTTAGCTTAAAAACCTTTCATCTTCTTTAGGAAAACCAACATCCATGTTCAGCCTATTAGAATTTCCACACCTGACACTGAGATTGCTAGCTCTCTGGAAACTGACCGGTCAGAGCAGTTTGTGTTTCATGAGTCTAGGCAGTCACTAGACAGAGGGTCACAGAGATAAACAATGACTACAGCACAACGGCTGAGAAGCAGTCGACTGCCTTTCTGCTTCCTTGCGGGGAGCTCAGCAGAGGAGCTTGGCTGTGGCAGTGGAGATATTGTTCCTTAAAAACCACAAGTAATTTTTTAGTCTACTCTACACACACAATAGAAATAAATAGAGGCTAGACCTCAGCAAACAAACATGAGTCTCAGGAATTAAAAATAAAAATCCACTCTCTCCAAGGTCCTTTACTGCTCTCAAATACTTCTGCTTTTACCCGCCAGACATTACTAGTAGAATGTCAACCTCTCACTGGAAATGAACAAGCAAAAAGTAATAAAGTCAAAATAGGAAAATGTGTGAAGCTAGACAAATACCTGCACTTTCAACTAATCTATCCGCTGACAAGTTTTTATTAAGTGTCTATATACTCTGCAATGTGCTAGGTATACTGGTAGGCATGAGAGAAGGCATGGACAAGGTCTGACCTTGCTAAACTTAGAATCTAACTTGGGAGAAAGAAAAAAACCTAACATATAGTATAATCTGGAAAGATTATTAAATCAGTAAGTCTGATTATACCTGTACTCTTTAATTTATTGGCAGTCTGTATTCCAAATTTCATTGTAGGTCAACTGTTAGGAATTCAGTAACAGTTTCCCACAGAAGTAGTTGTACCCAACAGTTAGGTTCCCAGGAAATCCAAGGAGTCTTAAATTTATATTATACAAGAACTATAGAATCTAACCATATATAGCAGTACTTCTGTGGGAAAATATGTCTAGAGTTCTACCTTGGAATGTCAGAAACATAACTCTGTGTACTGCCAGGAATGCGGTGGGATTACGAAAGCTTTTACTAAAACTAGTCAATCTGGGAGAATCAGAATTCTCCCCTAGTCATTCAAGGAGACCCTCAAAGCCTCCACCTGGGCAAAGCGAAAGGGCGCAGATTTGGAAGGAAGGGTGGAGAGGGTAGAGTGACCTTAGGGTAAGACCAGAGCCTTTGTTTTATTCGGAGGATCCCATGGCTCTTCTTCTCTATCACTATCTGTTAATTCTGACCCAAGTCTTCCCTGGTCCACAGAGGAAAAGGAAGCAGTCTCACAGTTCCCCTCTTGTTTCTTGGGGGCAAAAAACATAGTTATTTTAATGGCTTTTAGGGTAATATTTTTAAAAAGCATATCTGCAATCATTTTTATTTTCCTTTTAAACTCTCTACTTCTGTCTCCACTTTCCCCTGTATTCTTTTTTAAAAAGTTTATTTATTTTATAGAGAGAGGAAGAGGAAGAGAGAGAAATGTCGATTTTTGTTGTATCAGGACGATGTTCTAACCAACTGAGCTAGCTGGCTGGGTCCCCTCTATGTTTGTCATCAGGAAATTTTACTTGGTTTAACCATGGTACTGTGGTTGTTTTAGAAACAGAATCCTTATCTTTTAGGGACACATACTGAAATATTTACAGAAGTAGTGACATGCTTGGAATTTGTTTCAAAATAATCCTGTGGGGAGACATGGGAATGGTGAGGTAAAAATAAAGCCAATTAAAACTGGATAGTGGAGGTTAATACACTATTCTGCCTATTTTTAATTATGTTTAAAATCCCCATGAGACATTTAAAACAAAACAAAACAAAACATTATCAATGGTGGGAATTCCTCTCTGAACCTGAACTGCCGCTGGAATAGGAGGGGGGCTGGAATAGGGTGGGGACGAGAAAAAGAAGTCATCACAGCTGAGAACAAAGACTTCTTGTGGTCCTCAGGCTGAGAAAGCAGCTCCCAAGCAGCTGCCTATTCGCAGGAGTCAGGGCCTGCTTGTAGGTCCAAGAGCTCAGAAAAGGGAGAAAACAGTATGGGCTGAACTATCAAGAGCAAGGAGGTAAAATTTAAGCTCAGTTTGAAAGAAGTAACATTTAGTTGGCCTGAAGGTAGAGAAAGGAACAAGTCAAGGAAAAAGCCTAAATAACGAAAGTGACGCTGAAAAGAGCAAGCATGTGCATATGCAGTGGCAGAGGAGTGACAGGGAGCTGTGCTTAAGGAAGATCAATAGAGGGCCGTGTGCCCCACAGTTTGGGGGCTGCTGCAGTCATTTAGTTTCAGTGGGAATGGTCCTCGACACAAGGTGTGGCAACAGAGCCAAAAATAAGAGAAACAAAGGAAGAAAGGAGGGCAGGTAGGATATTAGGCTTAGAGAAGGAAATTTGGATATCTGACAGGTTTTAACTGGGACTCAGTGTGCATGTACTCACTAGTTGAGGGAGTATAGAGAAGGTTCTAGGCCAGAGACCAAAGCTTAGGGGAAAATCAGTTAGGGAAAATAGGAAAGGAAACCAGAGAAAAAGCCAATCAACAGTCAAAATGATGTTAGGAAACAAAAAAAAGAAAGAAAGAAAAAACATCTAGTACTATGAACCTCAAGAGAAGAAATACTTTAAAAAGACAACAATGGTTGCCCTGGCCAGATGGCTCAGTTGGTTGGAGCACTCTCCCATACATGAAAAGGTTACAGGTTTGATTCCCGCTCAGGGAACATATCTAGGTTGTAGATTCAGTCTCCAGCTAGGAGGCAACTGATCGGTGTTGGGTTTTTTTTTTTTCTCTCTCTCTCCCTTCCTCTCTCTGTGAAATCAATAAACGTAACCGCAAGTGAGAAGGGGGGGGTGGGTAAAAAAGATGACAACGCTTAACAAAAGCAGAATTAGAGGAGATGTTAAAAGAGGTAAGAACTGTTATAGGAAACCTATAAGAGAAGTTTTAGTAAAGTGAAAACAAAAACCAGTCTGTAGGTGGTTAAGAGGAACATAGAGAAATAAAGGAAACAGGGTAAAAACCTATTCAAGTAAAAAAGCAAAAGGAAGGAAAGAGATGATGAGAAGATGAATCAAAGCAGTAGCCAAGTGAAATAAAAAGATTTTAATTTTTTTTTACAAATAAAGAATAACTTAGTGTACTTAATGTAAAAAAATTTTAAATCCCACGGAGAAAAAAAGGATGCTAAAAAGAGAGAAGGTAACATAAGATTCCTGGGGAAATGCATCAGGCAGAAGCATCAGACAGGAGGAAATAAAAATCTCCCTCTGTAACAGGAGGGAAGGAAGAAAGTCTCAAGTCAATGCTGTGTGTGGTATACATAAGGAGAGTTATGGGAAACAAGAGAAAGTAAAGCTGCAGCCCAGCAAGAACTCTGGAATGAGGAGTTTGGATATTATGCTGTAGCTAAAGGTAAGCTATGCAAAGGCCAATAAGGTAGTTTGAAAGCATCATTTTAAGAAAAATAATCTGATGGTAGAACATAATATATGGGTAGGAGGAAGTGGATGCTGGGAGAGAGACACTGGATGTAGAAAGTCCCATTTAAGAGTTTTTTTTCCAAGAGAATTTCACACTATCTGGGCATTGTGACTACAAGCCATCCTCCTTTACCTTCTTCCTATCCCAGAGTCATTTCTGGGGCTTCAGAAATGTCTGTGTTTAGTCATAAAGGAAAATCAGCTAGACTTTGGTTTCATGGCAGTAATATACAATGGCTCAATTAGGGCATAAACAAGCAATCTCAATATCCATTTAGGGACTCTAAAAAGCTCACAAGACCTTCAGAAGCCTCTGGAAAATCACTATAAGCACTCCTTTCCTCCCATGAAAGGATAACGCTGCTCCTTTAAGCCCATGACACACTCATTCCCCTATCTGGCCACTACTCATTCACTGAGATCTTGATTTTGACCTAAGTTACATATATCATATAAATATTTGAGGCATAATTTTTGGATGCTGAGGAGATGTGGTCACAATGTTATTTAGATTAAGCACAACATATTGGACCATGTTAAGACAAGTGACAAAGTACTTTCTTCCATATTAAAATAAGAATGTGTGAGAGTGGATGTATTATTTTATAACATGCTGTTGTGAAATGTTTTATTTTTCCTAATTATAGGAAAATCTGAGGGATTTTAAAAAATTCCTTTGCCTGTTAAAAGCTCTAACCTAATATTTATATCCTATGGACAGACATTTAGCTCACACTAAATAAGTAACTCAAGCTGAAGGTTTGGAAATGGAGGCAGTGAGGGACAGATGCAGGCTAGTGTGTCCTCATAGTTTACAGCATGTCCTTGGCTCTCCCCGCCGGTTCAGCTTTTCTTTCTGACCACTAGACCTACTTCAGGCCTTCACCAGCCTGTAGAATTCTGTTGCTTTCTCCGTGTGCTCTCACAATTGCATAAGGACTAATTCTTATAATAAATCTCTGTTCTCTATCCTTATTGTACTTCAGCTTCTCTCCTCCAACCTTGATACATCCATTTGTTATTTTACTTATCAAATAATATTAACATGTCTTGCTGCAATTGAGACTACAGAATTGCTCAACTCCACATGCCTATTACAGAAAATAAGAGATAACCTCCTTATCACAATTTCCATGCCCAGCAAGTGTGACAACAGTGAGCAGACCAACTGTGCAATCACGTAACTAGGTAGAGTAAAAAGAGGCATAACAGTAACCTCAAAAGAGGTACAATGTGCTGTTCTTCAAAAACAAAAATGACAGGGCTGAGAAATCATTTATAAGGCACACACTCTGATTTCTGACTCCTTTAAAAACAGGTTTGAGCAGATCCACCCACATCTAAAGTTTCTCTCTCAACTTACACAGAGAAAAGGGATGGTCTCCCCTAATATTTGCTAGTACTTCATTTATGACACCTATATCTCGATTTTCAAGGGTACTTTTATCGTCTCCCCTGCCCCCACAATAACATACCCATATTAACACATTTACCTGAAATTCATCCATGATACTGAATGTATATTCGTGCCTGGCTACTACATGATGACAATTCTTACACAAATCTGCCAAAACAGAAAGAGACATAATAATTAAATCATGGAAAGTGTCTTTAGACAGTAAAATTCCTATTCTCAGCAATGGTACTGCTTTAAAAGAATCTTAACTGTCATTCTTAACATGGCAGGAAACCCATTATAATATCTACCTTGATAAGAAATCCAGAATCTGTAACATAACAACACTGTATAATAAAGGGACTACACTTAGAGACTCAATGTGCATATATTAATTCCCACTGAAAGCTCTCTAAGGTAATCAATTAACAAATATGTAAATGTGTTTTTTAAACTAGCTAGACCTATCTAACTATGTAAAAGCTTCTATTCTCAGGAAAGATAGAAACTTTGCTACTATAACCAATCATAAATCAACAACCAATGCTAGACATTAAAGTGAATTTAATGATAACAAAATATTCTAATAAAAACATGATAATAATGCTTTACTGAGTGTTTAGAGTGTGCCAGACACTGTTTTAAATACTTTTATCTGTTTATTCACTTAATCTCCTCAAAAACCCAAAGAGATGATACAATTTTTAGTGATAAGGAAACAAACACACGCTATGGTTATGTAACTAGGAAGAATGTTCAGTTAGGAAGTGTTGGAACCAGAATTCAAATCCAAGCATTCTGGCTCCAAAACACTTGCTCGCTCTTTCTTTCTTTCTTTCTTTTTTTAAGATTTTATTTATTTATTTTTAAAGAGAAGGGAAGGGAGGAAGGAAGAGGGGGAAAGAAACATCGATGCAAGAGAAATCCCATGCCCCGCAACCAGGAACTGGGCTACAACCCAGGCATGTACCCTGACTGGGAATTGAACTGGTGACCCTTCCCTTTGCAGGATGATACTCAGCCAACTGAGCCATGCCAGCCAAGGCAGAACCCTTGCTCTTAACCACTATGACCTAATACCCGGAACAAAATTGAGTTTAAAGGGTTATATCTAAAAGAAAGAAAATGGTTCTTTTAATTTAGAACATTTTTTTCATAATGTGACTGTATTCTAAAGGCTTAGTGTTTTTCACACCCCTCTAGCAAAATATCATTTTTTGTGCATTTACTTCTCATATATTCAGAACATACCAAAGAGCCAGGAGACAAGCCAAAAGGGGATGTACAGTTTAACTACTTGTCACAGTATCTGGGCACTAAGGTGTACATATACTTAATTTATTCATAGAATTTCTTAGTGCCAATTTCAGAACTGATTTATTTTTATAGTTTGTTTGGTTTCTCAATATTGAGGATGAGGAACAGTATATAAAGGTAGCTTATTTACAGCAGCAAGACAGGAGACAGGAGACAAAAAAAGCTATGAAAGCAGAAAAAAGACTAAACCATAGCACTCAGGGACATTTAAAATAGGGGCAAACATCGCTTCTTGGCCTTTGGCTAAGATCAAGTGTATACCATATGATCTCATCTATAAGAGGAACCCTATGAACAAAAATAAACTAATGAGCAAAGTAGAACCAGAGGCATGGAAACATGGAACAGACTGACAGTGACCAGCGGGAGGGGGAGGGGGACAATGACGGAAAGAAGGGGAGGGACTAGTCAAAGAACATTCATAAATGACCCATGGACATGGACAACAGTGTGGGAACTGGCTATGGAGGGGGGGGCTGGGTGGAGGAGGGCAAAAATGGGACAACTGTAATAGAATAACAATAAAAAAAAAAGATCAAGTGTAAAATAGGAGGAAACAGCCCTGAACACTGTAACAGCTGTTGGAGGACATCACTGTATTATACTATAGTAGAAAATGAACACTCACATGGATGATCCTAAAGTTAAAAGAAAAAGTCTCTATATCTTGTTTCAGAAGGCATAAAAGCTTTAAAAATAAACAAACAAAAAAAACAGTGCCTGAGTCATAAGCTTCAGTTATCTCCAAAAGTTATTTAAGTAGACTATCTGACGCTAGATAAACAAGGTGTTCTTTCTAAATTCCTCTTAAAAACCTAACTACTAACTGTGTTGCAATACAATATTAAAACAGGCTTCATATTACTTTGCACAACATAAAAGTCAATACCTGCTAACAGACTTGTGTGAAAAGAAAAGGTCTACTTACGATCATAGGTAACTATTTCTTCTCCATCTTCCTCTTTCAAAGATTTGTTTGTGATTAGCATAAAATCCCGCTTACCACACACTGCACAGCCTGTAAAGTTCAGTAAGAAAGATCCATTCTCCAGGCAGATGTTACCCTAAAATATTAAAAATAGTAATTAAAATTTCTTATATTTCAAAATGCTTGGTGAAAATGATTAGTAAACTTAAAACCTCTAAAGGAGAAAAAAAAGGCAAAATTTACTTGCTTGAAGGCAACACCAATTAATTTTTGAAATTATCTTTCCTTTAGATGTGCTACTTATGGTAAATAAAGCTGAAGCAGTGTTAGAGCTGTAAGTCTCTGAGGTCTGCAACTATGTTTAAGAGAACTAAGTGCAAATGGCTATTTAGAAACACGTTAATCAAGCTTTAATAATATGTGAAAAGGAAAAAATTGAAAAACCTAATAGCCAACAATATTAGATAAGGTATCATATCATAAGCTAGAATTAAAATTCAGTCAGAACAGAAACAAAGCCAATGATAAAAATCTTATACACTGTGCTCAGTTGATTGCTGAAATAGCATTTTCTGAAGCCTTAAAAATACCGTAAAATAAACAAACTCTCAACTCTATAGATGTCAGTCCTTAAGTATATATGCGATTCAGCAGAAAAGGTAAAAACTCTGCAATTCCTTAGACTCACACGATGGCATTCAAAGAAAAAGGATTTTGCTTGAATTTTGCTTAATCACTAAGAAACAACTTACGCTCCTGGCTCAAAGGAGGTGTTTCAACCTTTCTTGAAATAATAAAGCATAATATGCTTTATTATTTTTCTTCCATCTTCAATATTGAAATCACTAAACAAAATTTCATCAATTTTGATAAGGTTTTTTAAAATGCAAGCTGATAGGACAGCTGTCACAATACAATCTAACAAAATTGTTTTGAATGAAGTTAAAGACAACTAAGCACTACTAGAGCCATCTTATGGAAAAACCCAAATGAACTTTTTGGCCAAGCCCATATAAACTTCCAGCTATTAAAAACAAGTGTTTGCGTTGATTAAAACAACAACAATAAACTCTACTGAGGTATACCTTACATATACTATAAAATCCACATATGGTAAAGGTATTGGTAAATAACTTTTAATAAATATATATGCCAATGTACACACTATCCCAATCAAGATATAAAATTTCCACCTTCCCAGGAAGTTCCTTCATGCTTTGTATTCCATTGCACAGATTTATCTGTTGAAAGACCCTTGGGTTCTTTTCAGTTTTTTGACTATTATGAATAAAGCAGTGATGAAGATTCGTGTATACATATTATATGGACATATACCTTTCTCTTGGGTAAATTACTAGAAATGGAATTGCTGAGTCATACAGTAAAGCCATTATATAAACTTTGTAAGAAACTGTCACAAAGTTTCTTGTGACAGTTTTCCAGTTTTCTATTCCCACCAGCACTGTGGGAGTACCAGTTGCTCCACATTCTCACCAACACTAGGTATTATAAGGTGTATTTTTTTAAATTTTAGCCATTCTAATAATGTAAAATGTGTTATAAGAGATGGCCTCAGAGGTCCCTTCCAGATCTAGAATTCAGTAAGAAAAACTGAACTTCATCAAATCAAGCTTGAGGATGAGACCAGGGGTAGGGGTGCAGGTGTCTGCTGTTGGCTGGGTTGACGGTGGTGGGGTTTCCTTTGTTGTCCCCTGGAGCTATAGAGAAGTGGGGTAGAGGCTGATGTCAGCCATAAGGACGGGGACCGTTAGGCAAGGACCGCCACAGGCAGCCCCAGCTGTCAAGTGCCTAAATACTGCTACCGGGTCATTGGAATCGGCGGAGAGGCTAAGCGCTCCCCACCTGCGCCCGGCCTCACGGGGAAAGCAGGCCGGGGGAATGAGAAGCCTCCAAGGCCGGCCATGGGCCAAAGGAGCGGGAAGTTCTCGGCGCTCACTCGCTCACCCGATTGGGATATTCCTTCTCCACACAGTCTCCACACATTGCAACGCAGTTAACAGGGAAGGTCTTCCAGGGCTTCCGGGGAAGGCGAAGCCTCGCGAGAACCAAGCGAAGGTTCCGCATGCGCTCTAAGAACTCGACCCTGGCGTATTCAGTTCTGAACAAAGTCTTCGTCTCCGCCCCTTAGCAACTGCTGTTAGGGCACGGCCTCATCTCTTTCGCAGCAACGGTGACAACCAGTGGAACTTCTGGAACTGTAGGAGAAAGAGGACCGTGTGGCGGCGGAAAGGGGAAAGGGATCTTGGACAGAGAAAAGTTCTAATAGGCCTTCCTGAGTCTAGGTTGACAGACAAGTCAATACACAAGAAAGGTAATTGTTTCTCACATTCAGCTTTGTTTCAGCCTTTCAGCTGCCTTGGCTTACTCCATATATAAAGCTGAAATTATAATTTAAATATTTTTCCTTAACCATTTCTTAGGAGAGTGAGAATGATAGATCAGATTTCAGCAGGTGAACAAGCAATAACTGAAGTGTTTCGGAAGCATTTAAAGCTTTGCAGAGAATCTCCTAAAAAGAACATGTAAAATGTTAATGGGAAATGATCATCCCAGAGTCCTCTGGAGAACATAGCGGCGGGAAACGTGCTTCTATCCCTCTGTGTGTCACAGAAGCGTATCAGTGGCAGGCAAGCACGATGTAAATAGAAAATGGCCAGGTCAGTGGTCCCTGCATCATTTCCCAATTCTGTGGAGTTCAAAATGTGTGTGATAGGTGCTTGCTTCTTTTTCAACAACCATTTCAAAGCAAGCCAGTTTAACTGGGTTTGCTAACACAGGGATTCTATCTCCACTGGAGTGCTGAAATCGTAACCTTTGGTATTTCAGCCTCTGGTAAGGATCTGCAGCAGTAACTGAAAGTCACAGGTGTGCTAAAAAGCACTTTAAGAACTAGTGCATCAGCATTCACTTTATTCTTGGAATAATTATAATGTCTTCCATTTGTATGACATTTTCAACATTTCACTGTCATTTCAGTTTCTAATTTTATGCTTTCGCAACCGTATAAGATTAGTAATGTGAACCCTGAGAAGAAATACATCTGCCAAGAAGGACTCCTCATGGTTTACTGGGCCCAAATTCATGACTAGAGCCTAGTAGCTATTGCTGACAGAGGCCTCTTACACACTGCATTTCAGAGAAAAGCCAGGGTCTGAGCTATCAGCCTCCTTTCCTGGGCTTCTGCCACTTGGTATCCTCTTACGACCAATGGACAGAGACCCAACCCTAGCAATTCGAACTGTACAGCTATATCCTCTTTTGTATCTATGCTGACCAATCAGAGCTGCTCTATGATGAGATCAATCAGAATGCACAATTCCTACCAATTAGGACAGTGCCATTTGGACTAATCAGAACTGTGCATCTGATTCCTCATTTGCATAAAAATGGGCCAACCCGGAACCAGGGTGGAAACTTTTTATAAAAGGTGGCCTCCCCTTATTCTCAATGGAGTTGCGCTTTTGGTGGGCTGTTTTTTCCTGGTTTGGAAACTGTTCACAGAAATAAAGCCTCTCCTTTTCTATACTCAAGTGGGGATTTTGTTGACAGTGAGAAAAGTATGTCTTTACTTTTCGGATAAGAAAACCAAGAAAATAAGTGGCTAAAGGTCTTCTATGATAACAAAACTACTTGGTAGTCTGTCAGAACTAGGGCTTGGTTCCTATCTTGGGCTAAACTTCCTTTTAGTACAGTAACTAGTAGCCACATGTGGCTATAAATAACTTTTCATGTGGCAAGTTTGACCTGAAATGTCTTGTAAATACATCTTGGACACTAGATTTAGAAAACTTAGTGTGAAAAAAGTAAAATATTTCATTAGTAATTTTTATATTGATGTTGAAATAATTAGGCTAAATAAAAATAAATTAAAATGAATTTTACTTTTTTTTTAAATATGGTACTAGAAAATTTTAAATTACACATGTAGCTTGAATTATATTTCTACTGCAGAAGGCTAGCCTATACAATTCCCTTTCTGGATTGATTTTTTAAATGTATCCTCTGTTTTTAAAGCCCGATGATCACTTTTAACATTACTAACCACTGTATCTATTTTATTTAATTCTGTAGACATTTTTTGAGTGTCATCGCTATGCAAGGAACCATGTGGACAACAGGAAAATGAAAAGGACACTGTCCTTTCCTAGTCTCCATATATTCACCATGGAGTCTGAGAGAGAAAATCAGCAAAAATGCCTATAATTACTGAAAGCTTGTGATTTTACAGCACAAAATGGAAAGACTTCTGGCAGATGGGGAATTTCAAAAAAGGAATTTGGGCCTTGAAAAATTGTAGGACTTCAAAAAGCAGAGAGTTTAGTATAGGAATTTCAGGTGGACCATACCAAAGAGTTTGGATTTTACCCTGCAGGTGACAGGGAGCCACTGAAAGTTTGAGCAGGAGAGTGATATCAGTGTGTGGTTTAGGAAGATCCATTTTAGCGCCATTTTATTGGGACTGATGGAAATGGAGAGAAATTGGATATGCAAAAGGCAAAAACGCTAGCACGAACCACAAGGGGGAGACATATAGCTTTCTGCCTCGAGACTAATAAGGAATGTTCATGATTTAAAAAATAAAAATAAAAATTACACAGCAAAGATCTTAATGACTAAGTTCTTTGGTATGAACTCATTTTATGTTCTGAGACATGAAAAACAATCTACATATTCACCAACATCTTTTTACCTTTCCAGAGTGATATTGTATCTTGTTATTGAAGCAAGCAGGTGAAGAAAAAGGTCATCTTATTCACAGGCACAAAATTTCAACAGCTTATAGCTATCTACCCACTGAAGTTCCCTATTCAAATGTAACCATGTTCAGGGAAGAGAGTCAGTAAATGAGTCTGGCAGGGGGAGCGGGAAAGGACCAGAAATTAAGGTGTGACTATGGCAATAGGCATGTGAAAGTCTCTGAGGTTAACAGGTGCAAGAAAGGAAAATAGAGGCCAAGGAAAAAAGAAAAAAAGAGAAGATTAGCACCAGAAAGGGATGACCAAGTAGTGGTGTAAAATAAGTTTTAAAAAGTTACAAAAACTATTTTCTCTTCTAGATAATTATGTAAAATAAAGTTTATAGGAACCACTTAAGGATTACCTTCTAATAGAATGTTCTTTTAATAAACGTGACAGGAATAATGTGTATCAAATATATTCATGTATTGCAGTTTATGCATGAGATTATCCCTTGGCAAAGAGTGCATTTAGGTAGCTCTAAATGTTAAAATGATCCAATTATATATGAAAAACTGCATCCCCGATACAAGATTAAAGTTTTCCCTTAGGAGTTCAGTTTGAATCCCCTAACACCCTCTTTCTAGTACCTCTTTTCTTTTGCCGTTTATGATGCCCGAAGCCAAGAGGCTGGAAAGATGTAGTGTTCAGCATATCTATCCTCTTCACTCTTTGTTTCAAGGGGTAAGCAAGCACCCCAGAACTTTTATGGTGCTACTGTCAGACCAGTTTCACAGATGGGATGAAGCTCATCTCCAAGCAGTTCATCTGCCTAGTGAAGGTATGTGTCATTCTTTCCATTGTTTCAAGGGAAGTGTGAAATAGGAGCAGTTGTTTTTATCTGGTATCACCTGCCTGGCAGGGATGAATTAGCAGCAATTCCAGGTTAACTCTGCGACCACAGGTGAGCCTGACTGAAAGGGTCAGGGCAAGCTTTTTAAAATTTTAGTTCAGTGGCCAAGTTGGATTTTCTTCTGTTTGTGGTTCTCATAGCTATTCAGATTATACATTCTAGCTTTCAAACACGTGTCATTTAAAAGCAGGGGAGTAGCTACTGTTTCTCTTTGTTTCCTTCAGCTCTCCTCACTTTCCTTTCACATACAGATGATCATTCCCATATATAATTTTCATGATATATGTCAAAATCTCTGATGTAGTGGCCTTTAGGAGAAATATTCTCTCTCAGATCGTACATAGATAGGGATAACTTTAATAACCAAAATGTAACTGGATTTTAAATATGCTCTTATTTTATTTTATTTCTAATGTGTGCTCCAAGGATATAGTAAGACTTGGAGCAGAGTTTTGTTATTTGCCATCTATATGGACCATGAGAGATAAAGGAGTTTGGACTTTTTAGAGAAGCCAAGGAAGTGAGGAAAGGGAAATCCGGAGGCTCCTGGTTTGTCCTGGAGAATGGCAGTAGTTCAGGCACAAAATCCTTGGGAATTAAAAAGGTTGGGTAGTTTTGCCCTTACTAGTGTGGCTCAGGGGGTTGGGCATCATCCCACAAAGCAAAAGGTCGCCGGTTCAGTTCCTGGTCAGGGCACATGCCTGGATTGCAGTTCCATCCCTGGCCTGGGCGCACAGGAGAGGCAACTGAACAGTTTCTCTCTCTCATCGCTATTTCTCTCCCTCTCTTTCTTCCTGCCTTCTCCTCTCTCTAAAAATAAATACATAAAACATTTTTTTAAAAAAAGAATCTTGGGTAGTTTTGAAAAGAGTAGTTTTGACTTGGAGTGGAGAAGGGTTATGTAGAAGCTGCAAGAAATATTTAGGATATAACTGATTTAAAGCTAAGATTTTAGATTCTGGTCCTAACTGTATATTAACTGTAGGACCTTAAGCAAATTGCTTATTGGCTGGCCTTCAACTTTCTCATCTGTAAAATAATGACAATAATAAATATACCTACTTCACAAGTTGTTTTATAAAACAATACAGAAATGTTTTAGATACACAAGTATATACATATAACCCCAGGGTGCTAAAAAAAAAACAATAATAACTCCAACCATAAGCATGAGGTCTAAGGTAGAAGGGAGGATAATAAATTAGGAAAAGGAGATTGGTAATAACTAACAGCCTGCCCATCCTGTGAATCTGTGTCTAGCTGAGTTGGGTAATATGAGACTGTATACTTTAATTTGTACAAGGCGGTTTGTGTGCACTCGAAAAGACTGAGTGAGCATGTTGTGTTGGAGAGGACACTGTCGGGGCAGAGTTGTGTTAGGGAGGGAAACCACAGAAGACAGAGAGAGAGCAACAAGCCAGGCTCCTCCAGGAAGCAGACCTAGAAAGTTATCCAAAGATGCAAAGAGGCAGGGAG